GGTGTGGTAAAAGCAAGTCAAATCCGAAGCAAGTAGAGCAAGTGTGAGACAAGTAAGACAAATTTGATTCAATTAGCACCAGTGTGAATAAAGCAGAACAAGTGTGAAGCAAGCTGGAAAAGTGCGAGACAAGCATGAAACGTGGGGGGAAAGCATGACAACTGCGAGACAAGTAGAACAATTGTGGAACAAGCTCGACTAGTTTTAGAATATCAAGACAAGTGTGAAACAAGCAGATAAATGTTGGCACAAACAGGGGGAGTTTGAGACAATCCAGACAAGTTTGATTCAATCAGGACAAGTGTGGATTAAAGAAAGACAAGTTCAATTCAAACAGGATAAGTGTGAGAAAAGCGGACAAGTGTGAGACAAGTAGAAAACTTTTAATAAAATCAAGACATGTTTGATTCAATCAGGACGAGTTGAAGGCAAGCGGGGAAATTGTGCTATAAGCAGGACAAGTGCGAATCAATCAGGATAATTGTGACATAAGCAGACATCTGTGGGAGAGAGAACGTGTGAGAAAAACCAGACATGTTTCATTCAATCAGGATCAGGGTGGGACAAGCAAGACAATTGTGCGACAAGCAGGACAAGCGTGATTCAAGCGTTAGCCAAAAAAGAAAAGATTGTTTTATTCAATCAGGAAATATGCGTGTGTAAATCAGGATAAGTTTGAGATTAGCAGGTCTAGTATTGAACAAGCAGGACAAGTAAGACACAAGCAAGACAAATTACATCCGATCAATAAGTGTGAAAAAACAGGTCATGTATTGGACAAGTAGAGTACGTGTGATACAAACAAAAATATTCTGATTAAATCGTGACGAGTGTGAAGCAAGAAGAATAAAGTAGGACAAGTTTTGGACATCAGAATAAGAGTGCGACAGGTACAGCAGATGTGAGACAAGTAGGCTACGACAAGTTTGATTCAATAAACATGAGGGTGGGACAAGATAAGCAGCGACAAGTTTGAGATAAGCAGGACAAGTGTTAGATAAGCAGGATAATCTGAAACAATTGTGAAATAAGAAGTACAAGTGTTGGATAAGAAGGATAAATGCGGGACATTCAGGACAAGTATGACACACACAGAACACTTGGTGGCAGACAGGGCAACAAATAGGACAAGCGTGAAACAAGCAGAAAAAGTGTGGGACTTACATGAGGAGTTTGGGACAAATAAACTAAGTATGGTAAAAGCAAGTCAAACGTGGGGCAAGCACGGAACGCTTGAGACGAGCAGGACAACATTGAGGTACGCAGAACAAGTTTGGGAGTATCCCAGCAAATGTGGAAAAAGTTATTCAAATCTGGAGAAAACACGACAAGTGTGATGTAAGCAGGACAAGTATTAGATAAGCAGGATAAATTTGGACACGCAATACGAGTGTGGTAAAAGCAAGTGTGAGACAAGCATGAAAAATTTTATTCAGCCGGTAAATGTGTGTGTGTAAATCAGGATAGGTTTGGGATAAGCAGCACTATTGCTGAACAAGCAGGACGGGGGTTAGACAATCGTCTGTCAAGAAGGACAGCCCGGACAGTGTCGAACAAGTAGCGTAACTGAGAGACAAGCAAGACAAGTTTGAAACAATCAGCATAAGTTTGAGTGAAGCAAAGCAAGTGTGGAACAAGCAGTACATTTGTGAGAAAATCGGGAAAACTGTGGAAATAACAACAGTGTGGGCCAAGAAATATTAGTATAGTAAAAGTAAGTCAAATGTTAGGCAAGCAGAGAAAATGCGATTTAATAAAGATGAGTTTGAGAAAAACAGAACAAGTGTGAAATAAGCAGCATAATTGTGGAACAATAGGAGAAGTGTGAAAAAAGCAATACAAGTGTGAAAAATGCCAGAAAGTATGGGAAAACAGGAGGAATGTGAGACAAGCAATACAAGTGTTGAAAAAGCAAATCAAATGTGGGACAAGATAAGTTTGTTTCAATCGGCATAAGTGTGAGTAAAGAGAACAAATGTGGAGCATGCAGGACAAGTGTGAGACATGCTGAAAAAAGTATGGGACAAAAAAGAGTGTGCGAAAAGCAATACAAGTGTGGAAAAGCGAGTCAAATATGAGGCAAGCAAGAAAAGTGTGAGAAAAGCAAGTCAAGTGTGGAACAGCAGAACAAGTGTGAGACAACCAAAAAAAATTTTAAACAATTAAAATAAGTGTGAGTAAGGCGGAAATGGTGTTAAGTGAGCAGGACAAGTGTGGAAAAAGCAGAAAAAGTGTGGGACAAACAGGTGGAGTGTGGGACAAGCCGTACAAATATGGTAAAAGCAAGTCAAATGTCGATCAAGCAGCGCAAGTGTGGGACAAGCAAAACAAGTATTAAACAATTAGTATAGGCTAAGTGTGAGTAAAGCAGAACAAGTATGAAACACGCATTACATGTGTGAGAAAAGAATGAAAACTGCGGGATAAACAGAAATGTGGGGCAAGAAATATAAGTATAATAAAAGCAAGTCAAATGTGATGCAAGCAGGAAAAGTGTGAGTCATGCTGAAAATACATGGGACAAACAGGAGTGTGCGACAAGCAATACAAGTGTAACAAAAGCAAGTCAAATATGGGGCAAGCAAAAAAAATGTTAGATAAGCAAGTCAAGTGTAAAGTAACCAGAAAAATATATCGGAGAAACAGGGGTAGTATGGGGCAAGCAATACAAGTGTGGTGAAAGCAAATCAAATGTCGAACATCAGAGCAAGTGTGAGACAAGCAAAACAAGTTTGAAACAATCATCAGAAGGGTGAGAAAAGCAAAACATGTTTGAAACAAGCATCAGAAGGGTGAGTAAAGCCGAACAAGCAGTACTGGTGTGAGAACAGCAGGGGTAGTGTGGGACAAGCAATACATACAAGTGTGGTGAAAGCAAGTCAAATGTCGAACATCCGAGCAAATGTGAGACAAGCAAAATAAGTTTGAAACAATCATCAGAAGGGTGAGTAAAGCAGAACAAACTTGAAAAGTACGGGACAATAAAAAGGAGTGTGGGACAAGCGATAGAAGTGTGCTAAAAGCAAGTCAAATGTGGGACAAGCTGAGCACGCGTGGGACAAGTAAGATAAGTTTGACTCAATAGGCACAAGTGTGAGTAAGGCAGCAAATCAAATGTGAAGCATGTTAAACAAGTGTGACACAAGCAAAAAAAATATCGGATAAACAAGGGAAGTGTGGGACAAGCAATACAAGAGGGGTATAAGCAAGTCAAATGTCGAACAAGCAGAGCAAGTGTGAGACAAGTTTAAAACAATCATCCGAAGGGCTAGTAAAGCAGAACAAGTGTGGAACAAGCAGTACAGGTGTGAGAAAAGCAGGAAAGCTGTGGGATTAACAGGAGTGTGGGACAAGCAATACAAGTATGGTAAAAGCATAAGCAGGGAAAGTGTGATTCAATCAAGACAAGTTTGAGGAAAAAATAACAAGTTTGATATAAGCAGGGCAATTGTGGAACAAGCAAGAAAAGTGAGAAACAAGCATGGAAAGTATGGGACATACAAGATGAGTGTGGGACAAGCAATACAAATCTGGTAAAAGCAAGTCAAATGTTAAACAAGCAGAGCAAGTGTTATTCAAGCAAGACAAGTTTGAAACAATCATCAGAAGGGTGAGTAAAACAGAACACGCAGTACAGGTGTAATAAAAGCAGGGAAGCTGTGGGATTAACAGGAGTGTGGGACAAGCAATACAAGTATGGTAAAAGCAAGAGCAGGCAAAGTATGGGACAAGCAAGAATGTGTGATGCAATCAAGACAAGTTTGAGAAAAAAAGGACATGTGTGAGAAAAGGAGCACAATTGTGGAACAAGCAGGTGAAGTGTGAAACAAACATGAAAAGTAGGGGACAGACAACAGTAGTGTGGGACAAGCAATAGAAGTGTGGTAAACGCAGGTCAAATGTGGAATAAGTAAGATAAGTTTGAATCAATCGGCACGAGTTTGAGTGAAAAAAAATGTGAATCATGCAGGACAAGTGTGGGAAAAGCAGGACAATTATGACAAAAGCATGACAAGTTTGAAAATAGCAAGACAAGTGTGAATTAATCAAGAAAAGTAGAGGTGTGAGACAGTCAGGACAAGTTTGATTCAATCAGGACACGTGTGGAAAAAGCGAGTCAAGTTTGAAAAAAAGCAGTGTCAATCACGAAATTGCGATTTTTTCAAAAGTAGCATCTTTTTTGTGTAAGTGCGCCGTCGGGTTTTTTTTTCTGATAATTTGGCGCCGCGCGAACAAAAAGTCTGGGAACCGCTGTGTTAAAGGATACGGGATATTTTATGGAATACAGAACTAATCAGCAAAATGTGTTAATAAGTCGATAACAATTAATGTATATCAAATGGGATTATACACGGGGAAGACGGCTGGGTTCAGAGGGGCCTGCCATTTTAGAGATCTCAAACAACTTGTTTTCCGAAAATTCAGCAAGGTGCAAACGTTTGATTTTATACCAAGGTATTGGATTTGTGCCATCAATGACCAAATTAATAAATATCATGGAAAATTTAGGATCAATAACTAACCAATCGGTTTCTCCGCAATTTATAGAAAAACTTTGGCAGCACTGGTAGTCGACAATTTCATCGATTTCGCGACCGAAGAGAAGAAATTTTATCTGATTTGACCACATATGCACTACGATTGAATTTTGTGCGACCTCGAGCGGTTCTGAAAGATTCAAAGCCACTGAATTTGATTTTCCAGAGCTAAACGTAGTATTTTGCTTCGGTTTTTAAGTCTACAAATCTGTAGTCGAACAATTCCGAGGGAAACCTCACCGTTGATCAGACGCTCAAGCGATGGCCTAAAATTTACCAATTTTGCCAGAGAGAAAAATGGGTTGAGAACCCTCTGAGGTGAGCAAATCAAATATATATTGTGAGTTTGTTCGTCATTTTCAACATTACTATCTGTAGTAAGTTCTACCTATTTCATACCCTTTTCGCCTATTAGCTCCACCTCCAGCGTGTTTTCCGTGAAGAAATATAACGCACTGCAACTTACAATGACTACTAGTATTTTGTTTATTGTTTACACAAAAGAAAACTAAAATTAACAACAGACTGAAATCTTTACAGAAATTATTTTTGAAAAATCAATGATAAAACTTGAAATCAATTCAACAAATACGATTTTTTCAGTGGAAGCGGTTGAAGGTAAAATAAATTGGTATTCAAACTGCCTGATTCTCTTTGCTTATACTTATAGATTGTTAAAAATACGAATTGACAGTAAATCGGTGATTAGTTAATGAATAACATCAGAAAAAACAGTGGTAATGATTTAACTTGCATAAATGTACAAAAAAATCACCAACATATGAATCATCCATATTAAAATCAAGAATACATAGTTAATGTTATTGGAAATTCAGCATGGTTGCATTTTAAGTTCCGGTAATATTATAAAAAATAGAAATACATATTTGAAGAAATAAACTTCGGTCACAATCATTTTGTATAATAGGAATGCAGATTACTTTATTGTCAATTCATAGAAGATGTAAATGGTGATAGTCTATTTATTGACATCAGTTCCAAATTATTTTTTCATCCGTACAATATAACCAAAAAGTGATTTTCTTTCAGTGCTCTATTTGTTACTCACAAGACAAAACACAACATATTCATCTTTAGATAACAAGAAAGTTAAATTTTAATGAGGCGTTTTCATACCGAACAAGGCTCTGTATGAGCAGCCAGCCTAAATAGTATTAAATGAATATTATACTGTTATGTTATCATCTAATAATATATAAGGCAGAATCTAAGGCACAACTAAATAAGCATTAACACGATTTCTACTGCAGGTTCTACAATCAAGAAACACAAAATAAATCACAATAGGACCACACTTCCATGGCTAGTACATGCCAAATTATATATTACTGTATAATCAAAACTGTATATTGAAAGACTACATACCAACATCAATGTTCGTTCAATTACTCAACAAAAATTTCACACTCAATGAAAATAAATCAGAAATGTGTTTACAGCATAATTCATCTGGCAATTTCGAATACCAACTATCGTCTTCATTTCCATCAATAAACTGGATATTTGGAAACAAATCTTCAACCAAGCTGAAATAATATAATACCATTAGATGGATGTATGTTTTTTAAAGAATTACTAAATTGTCATGGGAGAAAGCTTCAAAATGGAGTCGATATGGCACTATTCCTAGTCCATGACAGGAAAAGAAACTGATATCCATATGCTATCCATATATTTTTGATTAACATTCATATGTGAAAAACATTTACAGAAAAGTCTCGCCCGTAACTACTATAGAGATAAACACCATGATCAACGTAAAATTAAGACATTTGCAATAAACTATAGATTTCAACATTTGGTATTGACTTGCAAAGTAATGTTGAAAACATATTTATTCACCTCCAGTCAGCATTACTTTCTGGAAAGTTGATCAACATTTCGTTGATTCTTTGTTGTAGCATGACAACATCCATTTGTTTAAAAGTATCTTCAACTTTTTCTCTGATATATTCGGGAATCTCTTCTTGATTGACTAGATATAGAAGATATATTATATATTAACTATTGACCAAGAATGTTCTAAAAATCGAAATTGAGTGCTGCAAAAAATATTCAGTCATAAAGGGTTCATCAAAAATTTATGAAACATTATAATTGGATTTTCCAAACTAATGTTTTTAAGAGCAAATTATCCATACACAAAACCAAATTAGAATATTATAAATTTACATGATATACCGTTTTTTCACATTCTTCCTCATTTAGCATATCTGATAGGTTGGCAATACCTAAGATCTATCACTGAATCATTGAATTCATATGAATACATACATGAGTAAACTGAAACACGTCTACTTTAAATATGAGTTAAACATAAAGATATCATATATCCATACTTCTTGCTGAGAACTTTGGAAACACAAATACAGAGCATTAGGGGAATGAAAATAGTCATTCTTCTTACCAGTAAACAAAGTTTCTTTGTATGGATCAAGTCCTCGATGAGAGAACATTACCGATTTGTGCCATGTTAACCTTTGATACAAAGAAAGAACATGGCAGGTATTGGTGGATCTCGGTATCATAGAAGTCTGAGCTGACATCATTTTCAGATCTTTCTCAAGAAAATCACAGAGCGGTCTTTCAGATCTTATTTTCACCTTTAATTTGAGAAAAAAATATCGTTTAAAATAGAAACCTATCATAGAAGCATTTTCAATAAAATGGTTGACAAATGAAGCAATTAGTAAAATCATAGAAGGTCTGTGACTGGAAGCAACAAAAACTGAGCTTTGGACATTGCCATTAAGCGGGGTTAGTGGTTTTACAAAGATTTCCAATTTGTATAATGTTCTACATTGAGCAGCCAGTATTACATACAAAAGTAGCTATGAGGTTATAAATATATTTTTAGATATAGAGGAAGATCTTTTAAATTCGGGCTATCCTACAGTGAGCATGGATTGATTTCTATATTATCCAGGTCAATAATCTTCAATTTGCAATACTATTGTTGTCACTACATCACCACATGACATAATATGCAAAATGTATATTGCATTACCATCAACGCTAAAATTGGATAATTCATGATTCACCAAGTTGCAGGCTGAAGAAAAAGCCTAGCAGAGAGCGTAACGATCATTTCATCAAATAAGAACTTACCTTAGACAAAAAGGTGATAGCGTTTGTTAAAGTTCTAACCACTTCACATATCTCAGAAGAATGACATTTTGAAACTAATCTGTCAATATCTTGAGATAGCTTAGCTGTCAATGGTATCTGGAAATTGTTACGAAAATTATTTTAATGCTTAATATATAATATGTTAGGTCATATTTGTACCTTCTTCTTCAAGAACTTGCTACATGTTTCCACTATGACAATATAAAATTTTTTTTATATTCAAGGTTTAAATGTCCTCAAATAAAAGCAAAAATATGATGTACAGCTAAGGCCTAATTTTCGAGAGAAAACCTTGAATACTAGCAGTATACTTACAAATATATTTTTTATAACACATGCATTCCCCAATGTTTGTGTTAAAATCATTGTTATGCATTGGTAACATACAGTTAAATAAATTTTCTCTATATGTGCAATCTCTATTTTTATTTTCGCATAGATTAATACAAACCTTCAATAGCCAATAAAAAATCAACTAATGCCAATAAAAGAAGAGAGTAAGTGATCCGCTATATCAGCTTTGTTTTAGGTTTTTACTCTACTAAGTGAATCAATTTGTGTGTATGAATTGAGACTCACCTGATTGTAGTTGCTACAACTCTACCCCAATCAACACCAATTCCAACATCCTGAGGATAACTCATACAAGGTAATGTCTGTAATTAGTTTAAATGCTGCAATTATTATTCAAAAAATCCAATACATACTATAATTGGGAATATGATTCTTTTTATTTTTGATCATTTATGGAGTTTCTACATCAGCAATTCTAGTTTTTGATATGGGAATAACTTTAATTCATTTAATAAAAATTACACAATCATCTACCTTCTTATCAATTAGCTTCTTGCTGCGAACGAATTCTTCTTGAACCTAAACAAGAGTATAAATAAATTTATACATGCAATATACTTGTTTCTAAAAATATTGCATTTTCAATTAAAATTATATATTTAATATATAGTATTCATCATGATCAACCTTATTAGGCCTCATTGGGTTAATTGACTGTATAAAATATGCTGCAAATCAAACCTGTTTTTCTAAAGCATCAATATTGTAAGACATCAAATGTTGTTTTTCTTGTTCATTCGTCAAAATATCATATTTGGTATGCTCATTAATTAAAAGTAAGAGATCTTGTTTCTTGGTGCAAATAAAATCATTTGAAACAAGTTGCAGAACATCAGCATATTCATTTCTGAAACAATTTATTAAAATAAAGTAAGAGGCTGGGTTGACTGAGACAATTGTAATGAAAGAGTTCGTCTGAAGAAAATATTAAAGCCCAATAAAACAGAAGATTTAAACTCTTAAGCGATTGCTTGTGCAAGCTTAGTTGAGATGTGCTAAATACATCATACTATTTTTTGATTAATCAATGACCAGTGAATCAAAATTGAAAATCAATCAGCATGCCATTTAGTGTGTAATGCATTCTACCTCTCAGCTAATCGCATAGCTCTGTGACAGTTTGAAAGAAATGAATTCTGAATCTCAATTAAATATTCAGCAAGTAATTTTGCACATTGTCCACGACCACGCATACTAGGAAGAGCGACAGATAAAGAGCTCTGTTTTGTAATTGGTATAAAGTAGTTTTTCAACAAGCTTGGAGCAAAATCCTGTAATTGAGGGCAGATCTGGAATGGAACAAAAAAATTGGTAATTCAAAATTATATTGTAAACACCCTCTCTACGAGTTTGCAAGTTTCTTTAGTAAATTAGCAAGTTATAGATTAGATTTTTCCACGTTTTACAACTACAAAAGTATTATTTTCCAATCCTTCAGTACAGCGGTTCTCAATCTTTTTTTGCTTGCAGAGCACTATGTGAATAAAAAAAAAATTTGTGGCTCACTTGTAAAAAAATAAAGTTAGCTCACAACAAATTTATTCTGCAAATGTTAAGGTGATGGGTGTGCCTGTTTTAAAGGGACAAATAAAACCAATAAAAGGAGGTTCCTTCGTTGCCTTGTTTTTCTGCTTTTAATTTCAGTCAACGCAGAGAATCCGTGTACGGAGCCATGAAGATGCAAATGTCAAATTATTCTGATGGATTCTGCACCGATGCAGAAATATGGTTATAGCCAGAGCATTATTGGTTAGAAGTCAATCAACTCACAGAATTCCATGCAATAATATATTTTTCAATTAAGGCTTCATCATCAAATCCATCTTGATGTACATGATCTTCAAAGGTTCTTTGGTCTGCTTCTTGCATATCGATATTGTATTTATACCTAATTCATATAAGAACACAATAGAGACATATATTTTACCTAATTCTCACACATATTATAGCCTATTTAACAAACCTCTCAATCATAACATGTTGTAATTTCAGAATATCTTCCAAATGCATAAGTAGATAAATATCTGGTGTTTGAAGAATCAATTTCAAAACTTCACCTGAAAAACACAAGTTAACTATAACATTAGTGTATCTAGGAAATTTTTTATTTTTTTTTTAAATAACTAATAAATAAGGTTTCTCCTAAGGTGTTTTTAGGGATGCAAAATCATGAATTATTTTCATCCGACTACAGGTCATTTGGAAATTTGAGATCCAGTCCACATAAATTGAATTATGACCATGAAAAAGATTACTAGTTTATATTAGACTCATTCAGCAAGTGAAAAGAGATATTATAATAGGCACACACTTGGAAATAAGTAAAGAATATACCCTTACCCTTAGTGGTATACTCAAAATATTTTAGTTAAACTTGAAGCAAAAAATAAACCCTAAAACAAGTTTTATAACGTCACTACATTTACATACCATGACCCTTTTCAGTCTTGTCAGACAAAACTTGTAATAGGTGTTCAGGGGTTGGTTGACTAAAATAATTCCAGAAGAAACATGTTTCCAATCAAAGCGTTTTCAATTTCATCATCAGAGTTAACATCATTCAAGAGTCTAAAAATAATATATATATATCTAGTTTTATTATTTCAATATGTATAAATAACATAAAACAAGAAGATTTATGAATAATGGACAAATAATTTGAATGTCTTTCTGCTGCATCAGAGAGGAAATTCTCTCAAATCAAAAGAAGGTATTACCTGGTTATATAATAGCATATGATATGTAACTGAAAACAATGCTATGATACTACAAAAATCAACCTGTTCAGTGGTTCTCTTTCATCATCTTCAGCTTGTTTCATTAATTGTTTTGCATCTTGTATTTGTGTATCAATATCTTGAAACACAGGCAACAGATATTCATTTTGAAATACTTTTTCCCATTCACGACGACTTTCAATTGTTGACCAGTTTTGAGGGTACGCAACTGCACCCTAATTAACGAGTTAATATTTTGCATTGCCAAGTTTTGTCACATAAAATAAAAATATGAAAACGTCAACTATGCCCATCCTATAACAATCATTTCAGGCTTTGAGAAATAGTCGCTTTGGAAAATGGGGAAACTTGATCAGATTAGCGTGCATAATAGTAGGTTGGAGATTAATAAATTTCTCACCAGAAGCTATAATACAATAACGTCTACAGATAGTAGAATATGCCCACAGTGAAGATTTTTATCTACTATTGACTTGATATTGCTTGTATATTGCTTATATATATAAAAGTTATGTAGTAATGCATTTCAACTTTGTATAAAAGCTACAAACTATACCTTATTGATGATTCTTAGTAAAATCCTCATTAGAATTAGCACACAATCATCAACATTTCTTGACAAAGCTTTGGATAAATCTTGTAAGTTTTTATGAAGCTTTTCAATGATGAATTTTTTAGCTTCTGTCTTATTCTTGACACTGATCATTCTAAACAAAAAGAAAAATATAACATATAAAAGTATATACCAAAATATTCAATGCTTGGCATTTTGAAATTTCTAAACTAAAATACTATCATAAAATTATTAATTTCCAAATAAATTCATTTGGAAAGCACTGACCTGAAAATGGGTTGACAATTTTCAGTTAATCCAGCCAACATGCATGCGTGGAGAATGAATTGAACAACTGCTGCACCTTGATGTGATAACCTGTCCGCTGCAAGTGACATTGCATGTGTACCAGAATCAATCTTGTAACCAGCTTGACTTTCTTCAGTTAAATTCATTTTTTGATTCCCAGGCTCAAGCTTATATTCAACCTCCAATACTCCTTTTACACTCAGGACATTCTCTGCGTTGATTGGGTTGTGTGCAGTCACCAATGCTATAAAGATATCCACAGGCACAAACATACATTGAATTTCGTCTATTAGCATCTAATCTATAATCACCAGGGAGTGCAAATAGAAAATGTTCTGGCATACTTGGAAGATAAACATTTTCTATAGCATTCAGATTTTTTATAATCGAACTGAATCCTTTCATAATTCCATTTTGACTAGTTGCTGCTACCACAGATATCATGATGATTTGATATAAGGTATGTGCCTCTTGAAAAGTTGAAAAATGATTCACCGAGTACTGTAAAATAACTTCATTGATAGGCACCAAAGGAGTATTCTGAGTTTTATCCTTGATAATATTTACTATTTTCCCAATTGTTGCATTCTCTTTCTCCTTAAGCCATGAAAACAAAGCAAAAAGCTTTTGCAGACTGTTGGTATGGTCACTCAACAAGTCTTCAACAAAGCGTTCAAAATCTTCAATAGGTGTCTGGAATAATTGAGACTTGATATCCTTGAAATCATCTCCTAACAAATACCAGTAATCAACAACCGAAGTTTCAGCAACTTGTTGGAGTGAAGGCGGAATTAGAACCTGTTGAATATAATTGATAAATCTGTAGTGTCAAAATACAATTAACGCATGCCGTGAATCATAGTTTACATATAGATTAAGAACATTAATGAAACATTGGGACGATAAGATTAACATTAAATATGTAAATCCACTTCTTATATTAAATTTGAGTCATGGAATAAACTTTCTCTTATTAATTACATAACATAAAATCTAGAAGATCTGGATTGTAAACTATATAAACTATAAATATTCAACCTGTAAGTAATTCGAGTTCTATGAAAATCAGTAAATAAGAGAAGCTATACCATCAATGAAAATTTTCAAGTAACATGTGATTTGGAAAAGCTATAAGTACTATAGTATAAAGTCTATCTACTAGGTATGTCAACTTCGGGAGTTTAATGTGAGAGTTTTTTTAACTTTCGTATGTTATCACAGAATTAATATTCATTCAAGTGTTAAAAGACACAATTTAGCCCATTTTATAAGGACTTACCTTCAATTTTGCATGATTTCCTAATTTAGCAAGCCACTGCGTTCCGAACTTGTGGCATCCCATTTTTATGAAAAAATCTTTTACTGACTGTGGAGTATAGGAACTTGTCATAAGACTCAGACCAGTTTCAATCAATGCATCATTGGAATCCATTCTGCTCTCAGTCTCTCGCAAAATATCATTGACATAGAGAACGAAATAACAGACAGCAGATCTTATATTAGCAATTCTTTTTATCAAGGCCAAAGTTTGAATATCTGCGAAGTTATCTGTTTGAAAATATTGCTTTGCTTTAGCTAATATTTCCTCCCAGTATTTGACAGTCTTGTCATACTTTCTCGTATAATTTCTTTTGCATTCTCTTCAAAATGTTTAAGCCCAACTATAACGAATGACTGAAAATCTGCTGTATTCAGTTTTGCCATATCCTGATTTATTTTATCAGTAACTAAAGTAGGATTAAAACTGAGTAAAATTTGCAAAATTGAACTTCTGGTATTAATATTGATATCCAATGCAGTGGAATCAATTTCTTCATTTTCTTCTCTTCTACTATGGAGAACGAACTTTTCTAAAATCAATTCAATATGCTGTTTCATCCGACTCATTTCATCTGAAAAGTCCCTCTGTTTCTTGAAGCAAAACTCTTTCAAGTATTTCAAGAAAAAATTTGTACAATTCAGTTTAAGTTCCTGCAAAATAACAGATTGATGTTTATTCAGGGTGTAGCAGTAGGGACAAAATCTTCAGGAATATCCTGAATGCAAATTGGACATTTTTGCCTTTCATCTTGCAAATTCAGAATGGTGGCAACATCCTTCACATGCATAATGGCCACATGGCAAGTTAGTAGGGCTCTTGATCCTAGATCTGCAAAGATGACACTTGAAGTCGCCCAGCCAATCAAAAGTTTCAGTTGAATGTCCTGGTAACATCTTTTCAAAACATTGCCAACAATGCGTAAAAACTGATATGATTTTGGATCAGACATTACTGAACCTCGCCAGAATAGTTTTGCTTGCGGTGCAATCACTTTTAAAATTTTCTCAAAAAATAATTTTCATGCGAAATAGGAAGAACACATTGAAGAAGTGAATCGAGTAGGGACAATGATATCCATGACTTGCTGTCATCTTTTATATCATGAACTATAGATCCATATATATTTTTGAAACATCTCATCAACTTCAACCATTCGACACACTCTTTTGGTTTGTCAATCTTTTCTGCCATATTTTTCAAAATTTTTAATGTGTCTTTTGCTGCTTCAAGATGAAGAATGAATGCTTCAGATTGATTCTTTTCCCAGGTCTTTGCATTTTCCAATATTTTTTGGACAAGCATGAACAACTGTTGAAAATATCTGTAACTTCCTCTCAAGTTCTTTGTATGTCAGGAATATTATTGCAATTTCTCCCCAGAATGAAACTCTGGTCTGTGTCGAGCAGTTTTGAAAGCTGTCAGAGACATTTTAAAAAGTATCTTCGATAAGTTTGGCTTCATTCGATCATCCGAACCAGGAATGTACAGAGTTGTTACAAGATCACTTACAAATGCCTTCATAACAGAAATTTGTGCACTCTTCAAAGCATTAACAACGACTTCATACATTTTTTGATTTTGAAACAATCCAGGAAAACTTCATTAAGATTTCTGCAGTGCTTAGATTCTAAAGCATATTCTGTATTGAGAAAATCAATGATTATAAAGCTGAATGGCAATTGACAACATTTGTTAGCATACATTGATCCGGGTATGGTGAATTTTGCTGATTTAGTCACATCTGTCCAGGTTATGTCTAGTAGCTCGAACATGCTCAACCACATGTTGGTTAACCAGGGAGCGACAGATTCGTTTTCAATAAGATCCATGTTATTGTCTCGATCAATGACACTAACAACACATGCAAGAATGCGAGCGGCATGCTTCTTCAAACAAAGCCAGATAGTTTTTCTGAATGTCCCTCCCTCTTGCAAGTTTTCTCTGTTCAAAGCTTCTGATTCAATCCAATCTTTATTATCATTTTGTTCATGTTTTTCCAACAAAACAGTTACCATTTTATCAAGCAGAAGTTTGCAGAAATATTTATTGGCATCTTTATTTTCCAAAAACAATTTTTTCAGTATTTCAATACGCTTGAAGTATCTATTGCTCTGTTTTTTTTCGCTTTCTACTTTTGCCACCGCTTCACATACACTATCACTTAGGAGAGACTTCATATTCACAAAACTTCTTCATTCTTCAATTCTAGCTCTTGCTTGCCAATCTCAAATACTTCTGACAAAGATTTGCCTAAAAACTTGCTAGCTGGAGCAAGGTGGTGGTCAGTAGGACGGAGCTCATCCACATAAATGATATTGAATTCTTGTGTATGTTGCAGTACAAGTGCTTCAGATTTTGATCCCAATTTGCATTCTCTTCAATTGATAACAACATTGCAATGACAACAGTGGCATTAGAATTATTATTTGATTTATTTTTGAACTCCAGTAATTTATTCGTCAAACAATGTTGTGCACAAGCTATAAGAGAACTATTTATTTGTGCCTGCGCACATTGAACAAGCAGAATATGGACGCTTTTGGTGCAACTTTCAATGGGTTTACTGCACTGATTAAAAAAAACATCGAGTTTATCAGAATATTCTTGCTGTGTATGGAAAAGTTGAAGTGACCAACGTGTTATTATTGGTTTAACATCTTATTTCCAAGTTGTTGTTCAAGAACATATTTATCATTTTCAGACAATATGCTTGAGTACGAAATAATCTCCATACATGAAAGTTTCTGGTTTTCTTCAATGCATCTATTCAATACATCAACAAGTCTGTCATGCATTGTTGCCTAAAGTAAACTTCCAAAGCCATATCCACTTCAGCAGTACATAGACTTGAATTGTTCAACCTCAACAATGCATCCATTGAACAAGACTGCAGAAGAGTAAATTTGTACGGACAATAAGACTGCTCACATTCAAGTTCATTAGTAAAATCTGTGGTCAGAACAACAGAACTAATTGTATCATCATGAAATCCAACAAATGCATCGCTTTCGACAAATGTCGATTTTTTCAACTTGGTAAAATTTGAAGCCCACGAGGATAACTCTTCGGATTCAATTCTTGAAGCTTCATCCAAAAGACTTTCTGAGTTGAAATGGTGTTTTTCAAGCCTATTTATCAATGGTATTGGATATTTATGAAAACGCAGTCTTTTTTCTCAATAACAATTAGTCTAAAATCTTTGGAAATTCTGGATTTGACCCTGTGGCCTCCAAGACCAAGGTCAACATAATTTTGTCCCCCTAAGTCACAAAATGTTGGTTAAGAGCATCATAGAGTGATTCGTGTATTTCGGTCATGTTGAGAAGAATTACAGTTTTTCCAGTTTCCATGCATACTTTAATTTCTATTTATATTTCTACATATTTCAGTGTAACTGTGATCTCCTGGAAAACTCGAACCAAACACAACATGAAATCCTCTATTGTTATTTTTAATGCAATATTCTAACAAGTGGACAACTGAAAACTGGTTAGCCAGAAGAAGTAAAAATCTGCTTTCTGTTTCACAAGATTATCGCAAATCATATTTTGCAAGGGAATATTAGGAATTGCAAGAGTGCTATCGCCACTTTGTTCTTTAAATACATTGAAGACTTTTTCTATAATTGTATCATGAACTCCTGTGGGCCCTCCACTAAAATTTCGAAGAACGGCATAAACAACATCTTCAAAGCTAATTTCATTTTTTTTAACAGTTGCAAGCTTGTGGCAAAGCATTTTCATGAGGCTATAATAATCTCTCAGCCCAAAATATTCTTTTTCCTGAACTACATTGTAAACTTCCAGATAAGCTTCTGTCAAAGATTCAAAAATGTCTTCATTGATTCTCCATAAGTTGGTATTTTGAACGATATCTTTTCCTGTCTTTTTTAAGTCAAGTTCGGTAGGTTTACTTCTTGTCAGGAATATTCCTCTATTCATTTTTGCAGGATCCAGAGCCCAATTGGAGATTCCAACAAACCCAACTCTTTCATCATCAGGTTGTAAGACAGTAGTTAGATCTGTACTTCGACGCTCCAGAAGCGGATGAAGAACCTGAAAATAGAGATATAAGATCTTACAATAACAGACTTATATTCTATCATCATTTACAGTAATCAAAATAATCAGGCGAAAATAGATTTACTTTCAGTGGCATGTTAGCAGAATCTTCAGCAAGACCGATTTCATCCAAAACTACAACAGCAGTAAACGTTTTCAAATCCTGTTTCTTTTGCAGCTGAGCACATTGCTTAAAAACGCTTTTGATTCCTGCTGCATCAGTGAGTGCACTACATTGGTATGAAAGTATATGAATCTGAAAAATGTAAAACATATGGTAAATGATGTGCCAGTCAGTAGGTGCATTGCATAGACCAGAGGTGTATAACCTTCAATACAGCAGAGCCATATACAAGTGACTGAAAGAAATCGTGGGCCACGACTTTATTTAACATAAGTGTCCTAGTACTTGCAGGACAAAAACGCAATTGTGATATCATGAATAATAAATTGAACTCAGGTATAGGGTTTGTACCTCAAAGGGATTGGAATTACTTGCATGTACCAGATTATTCTAAAATCGTTTCCCGGGTTGCAAATCATTCAGAATTGGCACTTCTCCATGAGCATTTGGGCCCATGGGCTACAGGTTGCATATCCAGGGCATTGGCAAATAACCAACACAAGACAAACCTATTAAAATCACCTGTTTCAAGTTTCTGTACAAAGGTGCATGTGAAGTCTGCCCTTGCATATTGTTGGTTATAATTGTTTTTGCCAATGACTTTGAGCTTCCTGGTTTGCCAATCAAGAACAATGGAATTTTCATATCAGCACAGATGGCCATCATATAAACATTTTCTTTCAGAGCTTGATTGCAAGCGATGTTATCTCCTATTCTTATGTTGCGTAAAAACACAGACTGACATGCTGTGAGCTCCATGTTTATGTAACTTTCATCAACATTTGCTATTGCAAGATTCTTTACCAAAACTTTTCGAAAAGCTTGTCTATCATCAAGTGATGCATGGTAGCAAACTCCAACAGTTTGTATTATTATTCGGATTTCTCTGTTGATTTCAGGAATTGGTTTTTGTGCCTTTTTACAAGATTCTTCAACTTCTTTTTCAATATGGTCAAAAATAACATCCTGATGTTCAAAGAACCATTTGAATGTTATCATGCACCTCTCCACATCCCGTAGACTGACATATCTAGGTAAATCATAAAAATTAATAATATTTTTGTCAAATAATTTCCAAGTTTAGAAAAAATGCGATAAAATACATTACCTGCACTCATCTTTTCTTGTCCTCATGAATCTTTGTGATTGTGAAAGCACAAGGTTAATGATCGAAATTGTTTTCTCATTCAACTTAAGATCAGTTGCAAGTTTTTTCGTCATCTGCTCTATATAAATTTTTTCTGCATGATCATTCAACTGCCCGAAGTCCCATACAAATGGTTGCATGCTTGGAGGCAATGCAACAACTCTGTATACCAGTGTACGAACTGGGATATTTCCAAATAAATGAGCAGTTTCACTTGTATGAATTCTATATCCAAGTCCAGAATCCTCCAATTTCTTAATGGCTTCTTGTGAAAGTTTTTTATAAGGATTGCATGCAGCAACAAGTTGCAATCTTGAGTCTTCAAAAGACTTTCCGCCAATACTAAGATCACACATAACTTCCTTGATTGCATAAATTGCTTCTGTTGTATTTGCTTCATCATAAAATAATGTTGTTGTCAGATTGTGCTTTTCCCTGTTCATAACTTCAGCCTCTTTAGCATTTTTGACACTTTTATGAATATCATCAACAGTTATTCCACCATGAATTTTCAGAGTAATCATATTTTGAACTTTCTCAATAGTATTGGCCTTTGGTCTACCAGCTTTTAATTTACTCATAAACTCAACTAATCTTGTCTTGCCACATCCAGTTTCACCCATGATGATCACAGGGATTTGGCAGCGAAATCTCATATAAATTGCAAGAATTTTTAGGACGTTATCAGTTGTGAGTCATAGCTTGGATCAGGGTCATACTGGTCATAGTCATCTTCTACGCCCAACACACGTCGCAAACGAATCAACTTTTCTTGCCTAGAATAACTATCAAAATCTTTTCCAAATCCATTCCTTGGAGTTTAAGGGCTTGGACCAATCCTGGAGTTGCAATGGTTGTGCTTCGTTATTTGGCCTTTGTCATCAAGTAAATGACCCTCTTTGTTAATTTTACATTGATGAAAGTCAAGGTTTTACGATCATCATTAAAGAACACATAAGGGTGAGTTGATTCCTCCCACTTTCTTCGAATTGATGTGCCTTGAAATCCTTGACGGTGATTATCAGAGATGCTGCTGTCTGAAATTTTAAAGACGGGGTTGCAAAATCCTGGGCCATTCTTATCATAAACTTTACAGCAAATTCTTTCAATCCGTTCAAATCTTGTTTTATAGCTGGACTGGTGCAAAACACAGATTTTTCACAATTTTGTAGCTGAACGTTGAGAAAGCTACAGAAGTGCCGAAGTTGAGCCCAAGATGGATTTTGCATGCAGCAGTGACGTAGTAAGACTTCAATGCAGTTATCTTGGTTCCCTGTAATTAAATAAAAATTAATTGAATTATAGAATTTTATGAAATAAAATGTGCCAGATGACACATTGTTCTAATTATTAGGAACATGCACACCTTCTGGATACTAATAATATTAACGGTAATTTAATTGTTGGAATAGAGTTTAAATGATAGATGAAAACCAGAAATTTTTTACGTAACTGCTTATACAGAGTCATAAACACTTTGTGTGCAGAATGCACCACAAGTATGTATGACATGCACTGTAAGTATGCAGATATCGCACTCATAAAAATGACCCATTTACCACATTCACTATGAAATTTTGTTAAAATGATTTTTTAAGGTATTGAGTTGATTTGATTGAAGAGAACATAACAATATACATGACGAATGTCTAAAAAGCCATAAGTAGTTGTTACATCCACATAGCATGAATATGGTACTTACATTAGCAGGTACATTTTACATACGGTACTTTCGTTAATTTTGATACTAAATACAATAAATATGGTACATACGCTGCAGTTTGCAACATACCCCTATTGTCCCACTGGTCAGTGCACATGAACTACATTAATACCTTCTGGTGTAGAATAGGCAAAAAGATCCAGATCCTGTTTGTTTATCATGTCTCAGTAGATATTGATATGGCCTTTGAAATGTTCAGATGAAAATTCTTCGACATCCATACCAATTTGTTCATCAAAATTTTTATTGCATCCATTCAATATCTCTTGCGGAGAAAAACATTTCACATAGGGCAACATATTCAATATATGTTGATTCGAAAATCTTTTCTACAAAATCAAAAGATATGTTAAATAAAACTTACAACAGCAACTTGTAAAATTTAAAAACCAGAATATATATATATGCTGAAAAAGTGGTTTTGGATTCGATCAACTCAAAGATTCGTGAATGTTCTTTGAAAGGTTAAACACTAATACATTAAAAAGATGAGTGGTTTTCAGCATTTTTGGGAGAGTAGAACCCTAATAAAACGCCCAATTACTAGGAATGTTACAAAGCGCGCTTTTTCGCACCAAAAAATGTACGCACCACGTCTGCTAAGTACCGTTACGCAGTGACAGAATACTGCTCATAAAAACGACTACGGATTGCCTGCTGTTGTTTGGAATTTCATGAAATTTTGACATAACTTAGATAAAATACACAACTATGATTCGATATTTGAATTTTTTCATTAGCGCACAAATTTCCCAACATTCGGGGCTTTTGAAAATTACGCTAAAGTTATACGTACTGCAAATTAATGATATTGTCTATGGACACCAATAAAATATATATGGACGCATGTATGTCATTCCTAACTTGATACTTTTTGATACAATTTTTATGAAGTTTGTTCAATCAGAACCTCGGTATTTATTACCCGCAACGAGGCACTGTCAAACTAATATGCACAACTCCAGGGTTGATTTGCGACGATCTTCCGACGGCCTCAATTTGACAGACGCATGCTAAGATCATACTTCCCGTGCCTTGAATTAATAAACGAGAAAATCGTTGCCAGAATAAAATCCTAACATAATCCCAATTTTTGTTTAGATATGACGCACATCGAAAGATTAAGGATTGATATGTGTTCTTTTTTCCTATTCATTGAAGTTCTTATTAAAAAAAGTCAATTCGCATACGTTTACGAAACGGTACAAATTAATTCAAGGCACGGGAAGTATGATCTTAGCATGCGTCTGTCAACGCGCTTCACTTATCGATTGAATGCCGACATTTTCCCTCGCAGCGATTTCTCTCGTTTAGCGTTTCACTGAGCGCGGTAAACTTACGCGGTATCTTACGAGTTAAGGAATATGAAACGATAATTAATCGTTCGTTAAGGTCGGATATGAAAAACGCTAAATCAGTTAATTGCCGCGTAGGCGGGGACTTGCGTAGTGGAAAAGTCGTTGCCGACCAGAGGTTATGTAAAGTTCAGAGACTTTCTCGTACATAATTAATTGGAAAGCAGCTAATATCGTTAAAAAGAATTTGTAAACTTTTTTGCATTAGGTTCTTCTATTCACAATAACTTTTCGTTCCTATTTTTTTTCGATTACCTTCAAAAATAGTCGGGATACATTCTGTTGTTTATCGATCTGACATTCTCGCGGTCACAGTTTTTGAGTCGGCACAATACAATCCTTATGGAAAAAAATTGGCCTATCAGACGGTACATAAATGCCGATATCTCCGTTAATTCTTGACCGTTTTTCGCAAACTTGGTATTGTTTTCTTATTTTCACTTAGATCTATCCACTGGTGCAGTTTTTATTTAAATCGGATGAACTTTAAATTTTTTTTGTAACATACCTACAATTACAAACTCCTGTGCAATAGTTTATTTGTTTTTGTCAAAATTATGTCTTAATTGTCTTGTTTAAGTTGTATGAAATATGAATAACAAAGAAAGGAAACCTAATAATGGGGGAAAAAAATGTAGTACAGTAAGTTTAATAATAGTGGCAAATATATGTACAATAATATACTCTTTGATTTAAATGTTAACTTGCGGTACCCCTGGACTATAATGGTGGAACCTTGGGGTGCACAGGATTCCAGTTGAAAACTACTGTTATAGTAACTATGAGATTAAGTCTTATCCAAATCTAAGAAACAAAAGAAAATGGTGTTTGATCAAAATCAACTAATAATAAATGTTTTATTAACATGGAACAATAAAGAAAAAATATTGAACATAATACATAGGGATGTCATATCCATGTTTATAATATGACCTGATAAGAATCAAGATTTATTACATAATAATAAGATGTAGTAATGCCCTTTCTCCTACCAGAAAATATATCCTACAAGACAGCAAATACATACTTTTCCAGTTGAGCCAAAATCTGTCATTTCAATAAAGTATAAATGATTCGGATGTGTTTTCCACACTTGTCCTCGACTACCTTGGATACTTCCAAGAACAAAAAGATTGAATGCGAAAGATTTTATCCCATGTTGAACCTAGAAACAAAAAAACTTTTGAAAAATTCATATTTGAACATGTTCCCAATATTTACCATTGTTAATTTGAAAAAAAAAAATTTATCAAAATTCTGTAACACTCTTTGTAGTGAGTGCTAAGTGAAGTTCAGTGTAATTATATTTCACTATAAATACCCTAGATTAATGTTTTTTTAATAAAATACTTGTTAAATTGAGCAACATTTTTAATAAAAGCATTAAACTTACAGCAGGTGTCAAGTCAATGTGAATCAATGAAACACTGTCTTTCTGAGTTTCATTATGCCTGTTTATGTCATTCAATTTTTCAATAATGTAGTCAGAGTCCAGTTTGTTCTCAAGTAAACGTATTGTAGTAGAATGAAGTTTATTTTTCACAGAATCTTCGAGCTTTTCTTTGACTCGTTTTACATATAATGATTTTCCTGAAAATGTTAGATAAAAGTCATATAAACTGTGAATACCTAACCTTATATATTTTGTAACATCCGAATAGCAATTTTTTATTTCTATATTAGCTTTAATCGTTGACAAAGAGAAAAATAGCAAAATAAATAAATATGTCCCATGCAATTGCTTGTCGCATGATCTTTCAAATAAAAAATAGTAAAACATACAAGCCAAGAGTGTTTTACTCAGAAAAATATAAACCCCATTGTATTTACTATTCTCACAAGTCACAATGCTCAATTACATGAACATAAAGTTCAAATAATTAAATGCTCAAAACAAAAATTACGAATCAAACTCACTATCACAGCAATTCACTTTGGTACTGGTTAGGCTTTAACTGAACACAGTGGCACAATGCGTGCAAAAATTTGGATAAAATGTCAAGCTCTAATATTTGTGAGGAAAGGTATGTTTGAAAAGTTATCTAAGCAACTAACCAACTCCAGATCTATCCGACAGTACAACTTTTACAAGAAAATTGTCCAGTCCAGTTTTGTCATGTTTTTTCATTTGTGTTTTCTTATTTTCAAGATGCATTTTCAAATAATCTTGTATTTCACTCATTGAAGCACTCCACTTACCATCAGCAAGATACTACAGAAATTATGAACACGACGATTAACAAAATAGTATTGTTGTATTTGTTGATAACAATTTGTAGCCAGTTCATGTTTAAAATTTGGAATATGTAGGGTATCAGATGTTGATCTGAGTATTTAGAAAATTAGAGATTTATTTTATACTAATAGAGTAACATGTAAAAGCTTTATGATTAATTTTACTGATTAGATATTGGAAGGCGACATAACTACGCAAGTAAAGAAACTGACCTTGTCAAAACAAGTTGAGAGATAATGCTTTTGACTGCTTGTTACAATTACAAGTTGATACTTTTTATTAAGTTTTTCTTCGTTACAAGATGACAATTTCCAAAATATTTCTTCTACCGCTGTTGAAACTTCCAATTTCAATTTATCAGCAAAAGCCAAAGTGAACAAATGCTGATCTGTATTTATATTATATAACTTATTTTATCATTCAGATTAACATGACAGACAAATATTCAAATCGACATGTATTGAATTTATTACATTGCAGCTGTGCATTGCAAAATTGTATACCATTAGGAAATATAGAAAGTGTTTGACCATCTTTTCATGTAAAATCTTAATTTTCTAAGCACTAAGTACAGCAATTGATCCAGAAAGATGAATGACAGGGGCGACATTAAAATTAAATAACTTGAACATCCAGTCTAACGTTTTTGTAAGTGTGATTATCTTGTTGAAGCCTACTCATCAATTAAGCAAGAGTATTAAAAATGAGAAAAAATTTCAGTATTTGTATTCGAGATTGATTAAAATATCTCTGTTTTAAAGTGGATATACAAAATTACAATATGTGCCAAAAAGCTGGCTTACTATTATCCTGACAAGAACACATTGCTCTTCGAAAAAATCTTTCAACTTCATCTGCAGTTGTTTCCTCATTGCATATAACAACTTCTGATCTCCCAGGTAAAGGTTGATCAATGTTATTCATGTACAACGATAGCACTGTAGGGAGAATATCTTCTTCATTGCAAACTAGAAGATTGGGCTGGCCATGTCTTAATCCAGGAATTAGTTGACGATGAGATTGACCTTCCTGGCTCAAATTGTGTAAGCATTTGCCAAGTTGTTCAATACTTAGGTAGTCCTCTAAATCGATTCCCTTAAAATTAAGAAATGCAAAAATACAACTTATATATAAATTTATTCAAAAAAATCAAAATACAAACTTACAATAGCTTCGTCCAAATAGCCATTGCATATAGTGTTGACAGAATCCAAAAAAGTACTTCCAATAGTTGATATAATATTTTCTCGTAATCTGCCGATCACTTCCAACAAAGTATTTCCGCTTGTACTTAAAGCTGATGCCAGCATTTGAAGTTCTAAACTTTCTTCTTGATTTAATTCTAGTAGCAACAACATTTTATTGAAAATATTTGATTTTATAAAGTATCTTCAAATTTTTTGTCACTAAAATATTGCTTACCAATGGCATCGTTAAAAGTTGAACAAAGCCCTTGAATTAAATCATCTTCTCCATCATGCAAAAGAGCCCAATATTGTAATTTTGACAAATCATCGCATCCTTCTGATTGAACAGCAGCTTTAGCTAGATTTTCATCAATCCCATCGCGTACTAAACTTCTAACAGTTTCAAGACGTTTCTTCAATTCAGTTTGGGTTACTGCTTCAAGAAAAGATAAACACACTCAGTATATATAAGTAATGCAGATATATAAAAGCCCCTCATTGTTAAACTTTCAATAACAACAAAGCATGAATACTAACCTTGCTGATGTTCTATCAGGTCGTTTTCATCAACTGATTCATCCTCGGATAGATTCCCATTATCTGATTCATCATCAGATAAATTCTCATCCTCTGATTCATCATCAGACAGATTGTCATCTTCTGATTCCAGTTCCATTGCACCAGCTAGGAATAAGAACAATGACTACCGAAACCACATAATTCATAACTGTATTCACGGAATTTGCAAATTCAATACTTTATGGGACCATGTTGATGACATCCCACTCTAATTATTACTGCACAAAAACATCAAAATGTAACATACCGGTAAGTAACAAATTCCTTTAATAATAGTCGCTATTAACAAATTCTGTACCGGAATTCGACAGCCAAGGGTTACGAATGCCCAAATGGCCGCACCGGCAGGAAATATGTTGAATGTTTTCTGGCCTTGAAGCGCAATGTCATTAGGCCTTGTAGTGCAATTATGATTCCCCCCTTACTAAGTTATTTATTTTTATATTGCACGAAAGATATATTTTATTATAATAAGCAACAAGTTTGCTATAAATGAATGAACTACCTTCAATGTCAACTTTCATTTGTGAATCATCTATAGTCTCAGTTAAATTTTCTAAACATTCTACTAAATCTTCTGGAGTGAAATCATTTCGCACAAACGACAGAAGAGCAAAAACCTGTTAAAAATTAAACACAAAAAGTTGACTAGAATCTGAGGTTGTTCAAATTTCACGATTATACTGATGAATTACCACAAAAGCTAACTTCTGTACAAGAAACTAACTACCGGTAGATAGCGATCAGAGACCGCCGACTTATCGATCTTCTGCATGTTCAATATTTTACTCGACAATTTTGACGGAGTTCGATTTCACATGAGTTATTCTCGCAATCGCAGACGCATTCTTCAGAGAGATTATGCATAAGAAGCTCTATGATAAATTGATTATTCTGAGTAATGGCTTGAACAGAGTTTTACACAGAGCAGTTGTACCAAGCCCGAGGAACCATCCTCGATTCCCAGAAGAGTTGCGTGTGCATAGTACTTACAATACATGCAGAAGAACAACTTTAACTAACCCCAAGCTTTATAAAGTCAACATTATATGAAGATCATTTTGATGTAACATGAGGAATCTAAGGAATCTATACCTGTACAGGCAAATGTTTTGTTTGCTTGAATATACAAAGTTGTCTACATAGATGAAGTATCTGCTGAATACTGTATTCATTCAGGTAGTAGAAGTCCATTCGTTTTGTTGAAACATAATCGATCCATCTGAAAAAATTGTAAATTTGTAAAACGACAAGGTTACCCAACTTTTAGGGACATACACAACTTTATTTTGATTTATTTGATAGGGATCCACCAGGTAGTTTGTAATGAAAATACCAACAAAGTTATTATTGCTATTACAAAATTGTTAAGTTTTAAATCAAATTTTAAAATATTTATAAAGTCGTAGTTTCAACACATCTTCAATCATTAATCACTCTGCTTGGTGGCATCATGACATTTGACCAGATTATTAAATACTTTTATCAAGAAACAATGCAATCTTTAGTAACTTATAGGTTGAAGTATATAAGGGTAAGTATATAAATTCATTATCCAAGAAAAGATTCTTTGAACTCAATTTTACCTACCCTTGCAAAGATTCTGATAATATTCCAGTAAGTTTGTCCAAATCTGCGTGAGTTCCAACAGAAGAGATCAATGGAGTATCAGAAGTGAATTTGATGTCAATTTTAATTGTGTTTGTGATATTGCTCGATTCACTCAGGCATCTAAAAGTTTGATAATTATGGTAATAAGTCGGATGTATTCTGCACTTGCTTTGAACAAATGTACAGCCAATATGAAGTTGATTAGTATTATACAAATAAATAAATAACATAACCAACCTGACTGTGAGACACCACTCATTGAATAGCATGCATCCAGATTCAAGTAATTCCACATATACTTCTGTTAATTTCTGGATGGAAGTCAAGTTTTCTACAAATATGTTGACATCACGCTGACCTTTTTCTGCCTCTCCGGCAATCAACATTAATTTTGACTGTAACTCACAGAGTTCTCCAAGGCTGAGGATTTGATCTGAGTCTATTTTAAATACAAAATATACTAAACAATAATATCTCCAATGCAAAGCAGAAGTTAAAAAAGTAAATGCTGTTATTTGCACATGTAAAATACCACTTTCTAGATATGATAAGACAGTCCATATACCTGTTGCATCTTTTCCCGGAACAACCAAATTCAAACAATTTTCTACATTCGGAAGAGCACTGACGTCTTTTTTCGTAATTGTATAAACTCCTCGTTCATTGATTTCTTGAGTTCTGATAAGTGACAACTTTTCAACTGATCCGTGAAACTGTTCCAGTTCTTTAAACCAGGGAAGTTGTTCACTTGTGACTTTCTGTGATAAATAAAAGTTAGACCAGGGGTTCCTAAGCTTTTTTTAGAACGACCCCAATAACAACTTTCAAGTGTCCAGTGCGACCCCAGGTCAATATATATATTTTTCATGAAACTTTGGAGCTTCTTTTACTGGACTTTTGAGTTCGGTCATGTGGTGATAACAAGTAAAATAAGCTCAAACCAAACAGTGATGTCGCAATAAGCATCTACATTTACTATAGCATAAGCATATAGCGATGCCTATGGGCCTGTTTTACAGTAAGCCAGGATACAAGCTGCTAAATTTAACATGATTTATCAAATCTTAGATGTTTTGTACATTCATCCTCCACCATACCTCAGCGACCCCACCGACCCCATGACCCGTTTGCGACCCCACCTACTTATCACTTCGACCCAATTTGGGGTCGCGATCCCTGGTTTGGGAACCCCTGGGTTAGACAAGATTTATATCACAAATCTTTTTTTAATTTGATGTATTTTTAGTACATTTCTAATTTTTTGATATTAGATTAAAACTACAACAAGTTTGAAAAATCATCAGTTTTCGTCAATTCAAATAATCACAAAATACAAGTCCAGTAAACTGAACATCAAAAATCCTTCATATTTTTTTTTTTACTAAAACATAACTTCATCATTAAAATCCCTTTTACTTGTAAAAAATTTAATAAAGGTGTTTACCCATTTTGTTAAGATATCCTTATCGCCTTTATAGTTGCTCCACACTTGATTGCATTTTTCCAATAGATCTTTTAGACCTGTATTTGTTTCGACTTCTTTAATTTCCACATCTTGAATTGTTTGCTCTGACTCTTCATCAACAGTTGCATTATCCAAATTTGTTGAAACATTTTTTGGCCAAAAAATAAGAGGAGCAAAACCCATCACTGCTCCAAGTAAGTTTGAAACACGATCAACTTCCATTGGGTTTTCACCAGCTAATATCATTGCAAGGTCACACATCACTTTAACCTCATTGATGTCTAAACAAGAATATAATAAATGCACATATACATTCTCCATGTAAGTTTGTAAAATAACAAAACCATAATATCTTATAGAAAATAATAACTTACAATAACTTATAGAAAATTACTATTGATAAAAAGCAATAAGAGCTATTAATAGGTTTAACCCTGCTGCAAGGATAACGGTAAAATCAGGTTGCTGACATAAGTAAAACAACCCGATGCCTCAGAAACAATTCGGAAAAGGGTCCTATGAAACGGAAGTTATTGAAGAAAAACCTCCGTATTTAAAATTCATGAACACCATATGTAATACTAGTGAAGTGGCAAAAAGTTTGAATAAACCAAGCCAACTAAAACTTGGGTATGTTAAAACTTTGATTTTGGTCAATAAGACAGATGGTATTTATACCAATAGAAAAATACCAATATTTACCATTCATTTTTTGTTGAAGCCACTCAATGAGATCATCTTCTTCCAAAAACGCTTCCAATAATTTTAAATTTTCTGTAGGAATATTACAAACTTCTGGAATCTCTAAACTTATTGGTACTTCTCGAAGCAAGACATTTTCCTGCTCTGTCAACATTTTCTAAAAAAAATACAACTAGTCACCTTATGATATTATTTAATAACCAAACCTGTATAACTGTACTTTTAAAATTGAATTAATAGAAATATTTATTAATAAACTGAATAAATTATACTAAAACTATTTTTGATTTCCATAGGCTACTGCAGTGTTTTTCAACCGGGGTGCCGCGGCACACCAGTGTGCCGTAAAATATTGTCAGGGGTGCCGTGGGAAATTCTCCAATTTGTGTGTCTATGCGGTGTAGCGCCCAGCAGAGTAATCATGTAGTACTGTTCCATATCAGAAGGTGGCAGCAGCAAGTGGCGATTTGCCTTTTCGTCTTTGTTTTTATTTGATTGCTATTCAAGATGTCCAATTCAACATCTTTCTTCAATGTTAAAAAAGCTCATATTAACAATATAATTGTGAATATTACGTCTTTTCCTAACATTTTCAGCTGGTGGTGTGCCGCGGGATTTTCTCAATGAAAAAAGTGTGCCTTGGCTTGAAAAAGGTTGAAAAACACTGGGCTACTGCCTACTGCATCAATTTGAACATTTCACTTAGCCAAAGCAGCAAATGTCATGAATAATATATAACTTAATTTAACTTCAAACATAAATTCTTTTGTTGAAAACAGAAAGTTAACACTAAGAAACAAGAAATATATTATAGTACCTTCCTGTCTTCAATAAATTCAAAATTTCCTTGGAGTTGAAACCTGTCTCGAAGTCGGAGCAGAACATCAACTGCACTGCCAGCTTCATTCTGCTTGAATGTGTTGACAATTTGTCGTACCCGGTCATTCGAATTTTTGAGTTTTTCATCCTCAACTGTCTCGGCTGATGATTCGGCATTTTTCGACTTTAAAGAAGTGTCATCTTTGTCAACATCATCAGTGATATCCATTGAATTATCTAGAAGTTGATATGTTACTAGACATGGGCCCTTCAATAGTTGATAATTAATGACAAGAAAATTTACAGTAGAGTATGTAAATAAATAGAATATGATTTAGAAAATAAAAAGTTAAAATTGTTGAAATATGTATCAATTCATGTTATTATCTGTTTCCATTAGAGAATTGAGCTGTATAGTGATAAGTTAATGAATAAAAGTTGGATAATTCATTGTGTTACTTTCACTATTTCTACTTTAGAACTAACCTGAGTCTACATCCGATTCTGAAGCATCAACAAAATATGTTCGATAAAAATCATAAAGAAGTTGAACTTCAAAATTTGTTTCTTTTTCATTGTCACGTGAAAATGAAAAATGTCCAGCGACTTCTGTCAATGATAAAGTTCCTACAAAAAATGCAAGAGCTGTTATTAGCAGTAACAACATTTTTGACACAATCATAGATATAGTATAGTACAGGGATGGCGAACCACTGACCCGCGAGTCACAAAGTGACCCACCGCGTTTTATTTGTGACCCGCCAAGCGAAGGCACGAATAAAATAAAAAGCTAACATATCAGTGATAAAAATTGATAAAACCGGCCTTAAATTAATCTAACAATAACTAAACTATTTTGTACCGTCAGTTGGAGAGTCAGAGCTGCGATAGCTCATATTCAAAATGTTGATTTTCGGGCCGGTATGGTGATTTTCAAAACCCCTAATCTTAGAGGCATGTATGCACCGTTGTATACCCTTATTCAGCTATTCGGCCTGACATCGTTTATGACATAACATTGCAATTGATCTGTTCATTTCTCGCAACGCCTGTCTCTTTCGGAAGTGCATCTGCAGACTGTTTTAGGGGTTATACAAGAACTAGATGCTACTTTGCGTTTTATTAGTTTCTCGCCTACAATGCCACTGAGAAAACAAAATCTTTCAGACTTGAAATAAAAATCTAGAAATCTGATATAACAATGGGGCACTGTAAAAGTGCTTTAATGTGGTTGGAAGCTGATCGAAAATTATAACACTATCAAAGCGGAATTACCCTAAACACTAGAACTGTAAAATAATTTAACGCATCATTATAAACGTTTCTGGTAATTCATATGCATGTTTTCGTACTCTAATATCATGAAACCCAGTGCCATGAAAGTCCCTGATAGAAGTGCTGCATAATTAAAGCCCAAAACTACACCAACACCAGCTTATAAGATTTGTTTCAGAAGTTTCTTATAGATACAAACGTGAATTAAATATCTGTGACCCACTCGCTTCTGTTCTGCGATAAAATTATAATTTTTGACCCATTCATTGAAAAAGGTTCGCCATCCCTGGACTATAGTAAATATCCCTCCCTATAGTAAATTATTTTAACAACTAAATAACATTTAAATAACCTTTGTCAACTGTTTTTATGAAGTTGAAAACATCTGGTTTCAATTCAGTCCAAAATTCAAGTAATTGTTCCCATGGTAAGTTAGAAGCTTCATCTTCATCAAAATGATTTTCCCTCAGCACTGTTAATTTTGTACCCATCATATGAAGAAATATCTTACTCTCCTGTTACCAAAATTAAAAATACCATTTTTATCACAAACGAAAAATCCCCCTTATTTCAATGACCTCACTCGTTTACTAATTAACACAATCTTTGATATTTGTGGCTATTGCTTTGCAAATACAAATCCACCAAAATTATAAAATTAAAATCAAATTCTGCCGGTTCACAAACGTAAATCTGAAATATATCACTGTTATTAAAACAACTACAATCATAAAATAAATATTCCTCTTTCTCAACTCTTTCAACATTCAAAGATACGGAAATAAAGAACCATACTCGATTTTAAAACAGTATGAGGCACAGAAAGGAATTGGAACTTCAAGCAAAATGAATGCAAAAATATGAACACAGGATGTGGAAATAAGAATATGGCGAGTTTCAACATTGCCTTTACAATGAAAAACCAACAATACATAAGTATCATAATTTACAGACCAAAAAATTTTGACAAGTTAAACATTTTACAATGTAAGAATATCTAAATCACAAATATATTGAAACCAAAAAATTTATTTTATACCTTGATAAATGATAAGATTTCAAAACTTTTGAGGTCTTCGAGTGATATACCAAAAAAATTAGTGGCATGAATACTATTTGGATTATCATTCACTATGAGAGAAATGACTTCACAATCTTGTACACATTTTTTTGTTTGCCTTCGGAGCTCTCCACAATCGACCACAACACCAGCTTTGTGAAAGATATAATATGAATTAATTTCTTAGCATGATAAAATATGTGAAAAGACATTTTCAACTATCAAAAATTGTATTGATAAGATTATTAGACATGAAATAGGCCTGTGGATTGTTTAGCAAATTGAATACTGTTGTGCTTGTTTCTGTTGTGGTGGAATATACCAGTCCGGAGATGGCAGAAGTCTTGAGAATGAAGAATGTTACTTTGTTTTGGTTCTTACAGAGCCCTCTATTCATCTAGAATTTTGCAAGTTTTTATATTTTACAGGCTCATTACGACGATACTTTTAACATGCGGATTAAATTTTGCGGACACTGAAATGGCCATATTAGCAATTTGACTTCTTAGTCCAATTATTTGAGTATTGATCTTTTTTTTTATTAAATATTCACCATTGTTTAGATGATAGCAAAGTTCACAAAAATGTTCAACAACAGATTTTGTTTTTTTAAATGTTTTCAAATAAGTTTCACATCGATCAAATAATTCCATTTCCTCACGTGCATTATCAACAGAAGAACTCTGCAATAAAACATTTATTATCGTAATTACCATAAAATTCCAACAATAATAAAACAGAATATACATAAAAGTAAAAAGATTAAAGATAGAAGAACTGATTATCAGAGAACTTGAATCACTTCCAAGTAAACAATATCAGTAAAACAGCTGAGGGGAAAGGAATTCCAGAAAGCCCTAGGTATTTTTTATCAAGCATTCAACTCTAAAAAACGTCCCATGTCACACAAGCCATGTCATACAAGTCTATTTAGGATGAATCAGAATGTTCTCGTTTCTGCATTGCCTACCAAATTCAATACTCCCAGAAGAGAAGATAAACATAGGCAAACTGGGCTGGGTCCAATGCTCAAACCAGAAGGCCATCACACATACCTGGGTTCCCAGAAAGACCGCAGGCAGAGAAGTTCATCTCCTAAATGCTAATCTTATGTGTAAATATGAATGAACTTACCTCTGTTCGAAAAGTAGATTTTATGGTTGAATACAAAAGAGAATATTCAGTTTTGTGTTCCAAAACCAATTCAAGGTCTTTAACAGAGATTTCAGCAGTTTCTAGCTGTATAGCAGATACTTGGAAATAATCAGCTATTTGTTCTATTAATACCTTGGTATCACCCTTGAAATGTTTTATTGCAGATTCTTTGTCTGACAAAACAATTTTATTACGATGACACTTAATACTGGTGTGGTCTACATTTTAATTTTTAGTGAATTGACATTCTGGTAATATGGAACGCTTTTTACCTGTGCATAAAAAATAGCCTATTTTCAAATGTCAAAAAAAAAACAATTTTTATTATGAATTACCACTACATGACATGTCTAGAAAAACGAAAAAAAAAACTTCTTCATATAGCCTACTCTATTTTATACAATATAGTGTATCGCTTAATACAAAAATGAAACTCACGAAATAGTTGATAAAACTGAACAGAGAAAGACCATTTGAAAAGAAACTGGAGAGCAGAACTCAAGTCATAACACTTATTTTTGTCACATTCCTTCAAAAAAACTTGTTCAAATATACCATATAATCTTATGTTTTTATCTGAACATTCCGATGAAATAAGTCTCAAGAAGAAATTTTTCTGTACAGAAAATAAAAATGTTACATCTAATAATTGAATGTAATCATACACTAATTACATCACTGGTTAGATACTCATATAAAAAAGTGGTTCCCAAACTGGGGTACATGTACACCCAGGGGCACATTTAGACTTTTCAAGAGGTAGGCCTACATTACATTGAGTATACAAATATTCTTTCCAATATTCTAACCTTGGAAAAAATTTCATTTGAAGTAGATAATTTGAAGACCTTAGTTTAGGAACATCTTATGAAGTCACATTTTTACCATGTAAAGGCTTTAATTTGAGTAGCCTAATTATCAAACTACTTTCGCAGTTCCCATAACTAATTATGTCTATCACAGCATGGAAGACTATTTAGGGTGTACAAGAACGAATCAATAAATTGTTCAAAAAATACCGGCGAATATAGAAAGTTTGAGACAATCTGATTGATATGAATCACAAAATAGAAATGAGAAAAATATTATCAATCAAACTAAAGTAAATCAAATCATATCAATTACATAAAAATAACATTTATCAACGCACATTTTTCCGACTTCCAGACAATAATGTTTGAGCGCATTGAAAGGCTTTTTTGTTAAAGCAATCCGCAATGTCTTTTTGCAAAGTTTGTTCTGCAAGATCTTCCGAATAATATTCCATGAATTTTATTTCATCTTTCCATTTCTGTAATTAGATATACATCAGTAAAAATTACTATAAATATACCGTGGGCAAAACTTTAGATAACTTTGTTCTTAGACAGTAAGAGAAACACGAACTATGCAGAATTTAAATAATGGCAGGATGAAATTAAACAATTTTCCCATAAAAAAATCTTAAGAGAAAATGTTTAAAGCATGCACAGTGTACACTAACTCAGGACCAGGATTACAGAATACCTACCGGCACATCTGAGCAAAAATCAGAGTAACCACTGTAAAATCCTGAGCTAATAAAAAGAGAGAGAATTATGATAATACATTACCAACATCCCATACTAGATAATGCAAAACATACAAAGTTGCGTAAAATACCACATATTGGGGTTTTCACAAAATAAAAGAAGTTTATGGTTTCAGAATAAAAAATAATAAGTGCACTAAAAATAGGTACAGTTACTAGAGATGTAAGTGTCAAATATTTTATTTTCGAAACAAATTTAAAATCAGACTGTTCTGATTTGAATATTTTCAAATAAGATTCTGTTTAGTATAACATCACATTATCGTTAACTTTTTGAAATTTGAAATACCATCATGATAAATTTACAAAATAATATTAATGATCTAAAGAATGAATAAGGTTAGAAGAATAATACATTTAATGGATGCTTCAAATACATCAGATTTGAGAACATTTATTCATTTTTTGTACATAGCTACACCAAGTTAAATAAGCTATTTATTTTTATCACTCAAATATGTGTTTGCAAACAATACCAGTAATGCTGATATTAGATTGGTAATTCAGAAAAGTGTTTATATAATGATATATTTGCAAACTCTTTAACATTTTAAGTGGTCGAACAAAATTGAGCGAAACTATTGATTTTAATAAAACTGTGGCACAT